TTCCCAGAATTTTCTACTCTACTGTAGAATTGCTGTAAATTATTCTTTATATCAGTTAGTGTATGTTTAATTTCTGACTGTTCCTTTGTTATGTCTTTGACATTCTCACTAAGATCCTTGAAAGTCTCATGAATATTCTTGAGTAACCTTATAACCATGATTTTGAACTGTGTTTCCAGTAGTTTGCCTGTGTCCATTTCTTTCATTTGTGACATGTTTCTTTATCTTCACATTATGGCTCCTTCTCTGTGTTTGTTTCTATGTATTGAGTAGAGCTGCTATGTCTCTTGCAGTTGGTAGAGTGGCCTTGTATATAGTAGGTGTCCTGTAGGGCCCAGTGGCTCACCCTCCCAGTCATCTGAGCTGGGCACTCTAGGTGAACCCCTGTGTGGGCAGTGTGCACTCTTGTAGTTGAGCCTTGATTTCTGTTGGCATCATTAGGAAGACTCGACCTCCTGGCCAGTTGGCTGTGAAGTCAAGTGGCAACTACAGTAGGAGAGCTGCTGTGCAGGAGACACCCCTCTGAAACAGGACTTTGCTTCAGTGGGACTCTGGTGCTCACTGAGTCTGCCCATTCAGTGTGTCACTTGTGGCTGTGTATGGTTGTAATCTGCTATGTTGTGAAACTGTCCATTGGATTCACTGGGTCTGGAGCCTCCAGGGTGGTGCAAAGTCAGCCTCGGCCTGGGGCCACCCAGCAGGAGATGTAGAGGTTTCTGAAGGTGGCTGCTATTTTGTATTTGTATTGGTCTTTGAGGTGCCCAGGTGAGGCCAAGCTGTGAAGCATGTCAGGCTGGTGCTACTGCCCTGCCTTGGGCCTTTTATGGGTGGATTTGGGCATGTTGTCCCCATCTGCAGATTATTTGAGAGGTTTTAGCAAAGTCTGAAGCCTGAGCCAGGACAGACCATTAATTAAAAAAAAAAAAAAAAAAAAACTGCTGCTAGCAGCTTGGTGGGGCTGAAAATTGGATGGGGCAGGGCTTCAGGGGATCACCAGGTTGGAGCAAACTGTGTGCTCTATGCTGATAGAGACTCAAACATGGCTGCCAGTCAGCTCAGGAATAGGGGAGGTCCCATCACAGGAAAAATGATCCCTGTGAGCACCCCAGTCTTGGAGAAAGCCACCCCTGAGATCCTGCCCCCATGCCAGACAATCAAATTCCTCCCTATATGAGTCTGAGTCCTTGCCTCAGGAGCATGGAATAAGTGGGACCTTGTGAGTTTCTGCACCTGTCCTTTAAGAGGAACACCTGTGATTACAGTAGTCTCCTTGTCACTCAACCGCAAACCCTGATTGGTTTTTATAACCCAAAGTGACGGGGACTTCTCTTCCCAGCTCTGCAACTCTGGGCTGGAGTCTGGTGTGGGGCTGGGACCCCATGCTCACCACAGGCAGCCTCCACAGAGACGATCTCCCTCCTGATTAAACAATTGGGACAGGTTGGTGTTGGGCCCATTCCACACCTCCACCCCTCCTACCTGTCTCAATGTGCTTTCTTCTTTCCTTCTCTATTTGTAGGACTTCCATTTACTCAAGATTCAGGCTTTTCTGAATGAGGATTGTTCTGTATTTTAGTTGTAATTTTCAAGTGGTTGTGGGAGGAGGTGAATATAGGCTTTTACCTACCCCACAATCTTGGTTCTTCCCCAGGCTCTATTTTTGATGTTTGATGCTGACAAGTTAAGGTTCATCCCTCTCTCTTGCTTGGCACATGGAAAACTAAGAGAAAGTGTGGTTCCCCCTTGTGTCCTGCATGTGGGACATTGAACCCACACAAGCCCCTTCTGTTAGCAGGGCCCTCCCCACCCCCAGCACTGTCCACAATGAAACCTTGAAACAGTGTTCTTACCCAGGGGATCCAAATACATATTTTTATTTTTAAAAAATATATTTTTATTTATTTCAGAGAGGAATAAAGAGAGAGAGAGAAAGAAAGAGA